GCTTTGCTGTGTCTTGGTTCACCTGACCCAGCACTGCACTCTAGGAGACGCCCTCGGGGCGCAGTGCTGGCACCCGCGGGACCCACACACCGGGGACAGCCAAAGCAAATAGCATCAGGGAAATCAGAAGTGAGAGAAGGAGAAGGGGCCGGGAGGCACCTGGCTAGAGAAGCGCCGGGGAGGAGGGGAGAAGAGGACTGTGTGCTGGAAGCCTTTCACATGGGCAGCAGGTGGTCGTCCCGCTCCTCGGGCTCCTCGCCCAGCTGCTCGTCGCCCACGCCGCGGTAGGTGGCCGGGGAGCCCCGCGGCTTGGAGCGGCACACGAGGTCACAGCCGTCCTGCAGGCACAGCATGGGGGTCACCCCACAGCTCCTGGCACTCCCCTTCCCCCAGGCATCGTGTCTCCTCCCGGGGACAGCTGCCCAAAGCTCCTCCTGGCAAGCGAGGTGTGTCCCCGGGGGGTTCTGGGCACGCTGGTTAGCAGCAACACCTAGAGACAGGCGTGGGGGGCAGGTGGCAGCACCCACAGTGCCAAGGAAGGGCTTCAGGGAATCAGACAGGGGCTTTTCACAGGCCCCACCTTAACCTGGAAAGTGTTAGCCTCTAATAAGCACCTGCTCTTATCCTGCAGCTGGCACAGTAACAAACATCAGGAGGGATTCAAGAATAGAGTCCTGGTGAGAAATAAAACAGATCTCCTCTCCTCTGCCTCAAGCTGCACTACTCTGGTGAGGTTCACCCAAGAGACAGGACCAGGCACGTGCCATTCCCTCCTGTGCTGCCAGGCTGGGAACACACAGACTGTCACTCACCGCCACCAAGTTGCCCAGATCCTGCCAGAAGGCAAAGTGAGGAAACTGCTCCATGCCCTTGGCTCCCACCACGAGGCGCTGGTAGAGGAAGCCACCAATGATGTAGACTGCAATCAGTGAAGCAAACCTGGAGGGCAGAATTTAAAATCAAAGCTGAGGGAGATCCTACAGACAACCTCCTCCAAGCCAGCAACCTGCCTCAGACTGGCACCGGAGCGAGTAGCTGAGCATGAATCAAGAACAGAGCTATAAACAGAGCAGAAAACATCCCCACAATATTGATCTGCTAGTATAAATCTGTCAGCAGCATTCCATGAGGTGGTGCCTCTAAGCTCAAGCACAGAAAATGAGTCAAGACTCCTGGTCTGAATTCCCAGCTCTGGCAAAGAGCTGTTGTACAATTGGAGCAAGTCATGTCTGCCACGTCTCAGAGCACTTGCCTGGAAACTATGAGGGATGATGTCTACAGGGAACAGATCTGCTCAGCAGCATCATGCCTTGAGCAAGAGCTTTTGTCCAAAGAGTAACAGCTAGCAGTGGCTGTGGGCAGGTACACTAAAATGACCTACTCTGGCACAGCATTTGCTCTGTCTCTAAATGGCACTGGAGACTGGCACAGGCACACAGAGCTCTTCCAAGGACTCACGTGATGAGGAGAATGGAGCCAACGCTGAGGTGGGACTCCTCAGCTGGACAGGCCACGCTGCTGTCCATCTCAAAGAGGTAGAAACACTCCTGCTCCTTCTCCCGCTCCTCTGAGATAATGCTGAACGAGCTCTGCAATGGGGAGAGGTGCAGCTGTGAGAAACACACCCAGGCATGCTGACCTTCACCAGATGACAGCTAGGGACAGACACTGGAGGGCAGAAGGAAACTGCTGCCTCCTCAGAGCCCTCCTGCCTATCAGCAGCTGTTTGTCTGGCTCCTGCTCCTTGTGCCACTCACCGCTATGACTCCCCGCTTGCAGGAAATCATTATCACAGCTCTTCTCTTCTCCCCACTGCAGTGTCTGCCATAGGAGTCACCCCCTTTGTAAATCAGCATGATCCAGTCACCTGCCAAGACAAACAACCCAGGCTGCAGGCCCAGCTCAGGAGGGGAGGCAGGTGCTGAGGAGGAGGAGTGCAGGTGGAGCCTTACTTCCGTTGAAGACCTGGGTTTCGTTGATCCTCCCCACCACTGTGGTCTTCCCATTCTGTTTATCTGTTTGGACCAGGCCACCAAAATCGTGGGAGGTGCTGTTGACCTCCCTGCACACCCTGAACTGGTAGATGTAGTTCTCTGTTTTGCCCTTCTCCACAGTGACATTAAACCTGCAGGGGGAGAGGACAGAGGGTTACGTGGAGCGAGGCTCAGAGCAGCCACCACGTCAGACCTAGAAGCCACTCCCAGCCCACAGAAAGGGGGGAGCCCGTTCTGCAGCCTGGCCCCAAATCTTCCCCTCCCCTTGGCCTAGGGCCCCGAGGCCTGTGGGCTGTTGTGCTGTACCTTATCTGGCTCAGGGGCTCCAGTTTCTTCAGCAGGTCTCTCTCCATCTGGGACTCGCTGCTCTCGTCACCGATCACGTCGCAGCTCCTCTCCCTCAGCTCCTCAGCCCCCACACCCACAGCCAGGGCCACCAAGGCTACCAGCACTGCAGAGGTGTGGCAAGGTGATGACATCCTGCAGGGACAGAGAACACCAAGGATTAACCCCTTCAGCCCTCTGCAAACCAACCTCAGGGTCACTGAGTAAATGATTGGCCACTCCCTCAGGCCTGACTGCAAAAAAAAGGAGAAGTCAGAATCTAGGAACATCTCCCAGTTCCCAGGAGACACAAATCTGAATCTCTTGCATATTCAGAGACTGTTGGCTGGGCCAATTTGGGATTCTTTTCTGAATTTTGCCTCAGGACCACAAAAAGTTTTGATGCTGAGCCCAGCAGGCCGAGCACTGGAGTAAGTTTCAGCATGAGCCACTGTTTGTTATTGCATTGCACTGAGCAGTCAGTCAGCAGAAAATGATTTACCAGGCCTCTGAGCAATCCTCTTGGTGCTCTCACGTGAGGAGCTTGCAGGGAAGAGCCACTGCAATTAGTCAGGTTCTGTTTGTGCAAGTGACCTAATCCTAGTAAGGATGTTATCTTTCCAGTACTCCTGTAGCTGAGAGACTGAGTGTGTAAGAACACCAAGCTGCAGCTTCACACAACAGTCTTCTGTTTACACAAAGAAGGGAAAGGATGAAAATGAGATGTCCCCTGTAAGATCCAACTGAAGAGGAAGTAGTGAAGTTAATGATGAAATCAAGAACATCTGACTTTCAGATCTGTGCTAAAATCACCCATGAAACACTCCGTGATTGCAGCAGCCAACCACAGCGGTGCCAAGGGGTTCCCCTCTGCTCCTCCCGCTGGGGATCTCAGCAGAGCTCCAGATGCTGGCGGCAGGGAACCGACAGACCAACAACTGAGTAAACACCTGGCTGCAGCTCCCGGGATTTGGCTGC